CCTTCTCCCACCCCCCAAAAGCCCTAGGTCTGGAACTCACTTGCTTGGGTTTTTAGGCCAGTAAACTTGCTGCCGGACAAGCACTGAAATCCACCACAGAAACCTCAGCCAGCAAATGTCCTAGTTTACTCACCCTCAACACACCCTGTCTTCCTAGATGCCCTGTCATGGGAGGTGACCATCACCTAACCAGCTGTGCTAGAAAACAACTAAAGTCAGTCAACGCCTGTCCGCCTGTTTCTCTAATTCCAGTCTCTATCCTGGCAATCTAGCTCTGTGGATGTGGCAGGCCAGTTGGCCTGTTTGAGCCTCAGGCCAGGTATCAGGCACACGAGAAGGTGCCACCGTTTTAACAGTGGAACACAGAGCACAGTACAGGTAAAGGACCCCATTCAAGAAGCTGAGAGCTCACTAGAAACAGTGGCCCATCAGCTTCTGAGAGTGCACTAAGTCACAGAGCCTCTGATGACCAGTGTGGGCTAAGGAAAATGAGCCCACAGGAACAGGCTCCGTGCTGTTCCTTATTTCCCTCACTGGGAAGCTGACCCAGAAACTGGGAATGGCTGGCAGGTGAGCTTCCTGTCAGGATCCAGGCCTAGATAAACCTGCTTTTGGAAAAGGCTTAGGATGTGGTCAGGATCTCAGCTAACTCATTGATTTACAGTGGCTCTGTGACTTTTTTTTTTTTTTTTTTTTTTTTTTTCTGAGTCCCAAATAGTCACTCAGCTTCAACATAACTGGTAATAGGAAAGGATTCAGCAGGGCTCCATTTTGTCATGTTAACGCCCTGGAATGAGCTCATCCACATGGCTGTCCTGCTGTGCGTTTGTGATCACAAATCTGTTTTCTTTTGCTGCTTTTTTAAAATGTCTCCTGAGTGATCTCATCTGTGGTGCTGTTGCTAAGCTCACATTTAGCAAGTGAAAGCCATGCTCATAAATACCGCCTAGTCATCCCTCCACACACAGGCAGATCCCAGAACCTTCCTGCCCTGAGCAGAAAGTGCCGTCTGCCAGGGGCAGCCACAGACTGCACTGCCACAGCAGCCTGACCCTCGGCAAGAGGGTGCGCTTTCTTAGTGTCACCTCAGAATTAATTCTAACCCTGTCTCCCAAGACATCAATGGCTGATTCCCCCATAGACAGGGCAAGTGCCGGTTTCAGATGGCAGCATTCCCTCTCTCCTGGAGCAAGCCTGGCAGAGCCTCATTCTGCCCCTCCCAGCCATCTGTTAGGCTTTTAGAAGTAGGGCAAAGTGCTGCAGTGAAAGCACTGCTGCGGAGCAGGCTGCAAATGGCGAGCTCTCCTCTGCCTGGTTGGCTGGTGCCCTTTGACAGCAGCTGGGTTGCTTTGTTTTGAACCTGAATAGGTTAACAGTGAAGTTGACTTTCAAGTCAGAGCAGTAACTGACCCTGGTGGGGCAGTGGGGGCTGCACTAGCTCAGCCACCTGGCAGGTGCTCCAACAGGTGGGCTCCATGCAGCGGTGGCCACCTGGCTCAGAGCCTGCTCTCACTGAAGACAAAACTCCAGTTTGGGCACAAACACTCCCCAGGCTCTGCAGAAATGGTTGGCTCTGCCACAACCTGTGTATCTTAGTATTTGCAGGGGAGAAGCAATGCTTCCTAGTGTAGCCCTTTGAGAACACTTAGGTTGAAACCATTTAGACTTCGTTAGCCTAACGGGACTTTTAAATCTATTGGTACCATATGAATCCTTGGACCCATAGGCTCATCTGTTTCTAAAAATCTTAAAATGGCTGTTGTTGAAAGGTATTGTCTGATGCCGCCTTGTCCTTATCCCTGCGGGTAGATGCCAGTTATGGGACCTAAGTGCCTGAGGTGGACTTACAGAAAATTGTGAAACCATGGAAAAAACTGGGGCTAACCTGCCCCCTGGGGCACAGGTACAAGATGTCACTTAGAATTGTAGTACCTGACAAATAATAGCTGTTTATAGAACATCTACTTGGTGTGTGACGTAACAGTGTGACCTTTTAACACAGGCCAGTCCTTGAGGACTTACACCCATTGCTTTTCGTGAGGGTTAACTTCAGCAATCTTATTGGTTGCAAACCTCTTACATAATGCTTGGCCTGACTTCCAAGAAATCCATGTTTGCTGAAGCAAAAGAAGTAATTTAATAAATGCTTGAAAATCCTGCTCGGATTTTATGTGGGAGGGCAGCCTAATCTGTTTTCATCACTGTAGTTCTGGTAGTGTTTTTGATGAATATCAAGAGAAAAAGCTAACCACACTTATTCTGTGTAATGCATGATTTGTGTAGCATTATCCCTTTGACTGCAAAGGAAACTGTTTTAAGTGCATTCTCTAAATAGAACCAGGTATGTGTCCACTGCCAACACTTACTCCTTAGACCAGCGAATGTATCTGTGTATGTGCACGCGCATGCACACCCCCACTGCCTCAAAATGGCGAGCCCGTGAGGGTTCACTGTGTGTCTCAAGACCCTTGTGGAGTTGGGGCATCGCCATGAAATGGCACGGCAGCTGAAGAAAGTTTTCCTCACAGAGCAGTAACTCACTAAGGGTTGGCTGGAGCATGCCACAAATTATTTTAACAGCACTGCCATCTCCTGTCTGGTAGTTAAGAATTACTTACTAATGGGACCCAAGGCTAAGCGTATAGCAGAAGTAACAGCATTATGTATTATTTCAGAAGCTGGCTTCTTAAGTAATGGCCTGACCATGCTTCCACGTAGCTAAAGGACTCACTCATACCCTGAACACAGCATGAAGCAGAATGCTGGCACTGTGCAGTCAGGCCTTTATACACATCTGTTTGATTCTAGGGTAATGTTTTTGCTACCTGGGGTTAGGAAGAGCTTTATGGCAAAAGAAAACTCCAAAGGTGACTGAGTCCTAAATGATCGAAGAGCTGTCTTGGAAGAACACAGGGAAAACTCTCTTTAATTATAGGATATATGAATGGCCCAAACCAAACAAGCCATTTGCCAACCCCTGAGGGAAAACCACCCTGGTTTCAGAATGGGAAAATACCTGGATCTCGAGTCCTGATTGGCCAGTGGGCTCAGAGTAGGGAGTGAAGTAGTTTGTAGTGATCTGTAGGTCTTTTTCAGGCTACATCAAAGTGTCCTGAAGCCCCAAGAAGCATGAAGGGCTGGGTGGTGGTTTCCAACATTGCTGGGTTGTTGGGTGTCATCCTCTTTCCAACAAGAGGATGATGTTAGAGTCATTACCAGGATGACCACCTCAGAGGCCCCGCCAGCAGCTTCAAGAACAGAAGACAGAAAGCTAAACAAAGTTGCAGGCAGGCAGGGGCCCAACGTGGAAATAGCTGGGGTGAATTTGAGGACCTGGTAACTGACTCCATATAGGTGGAATCAAGAGTTTCAGAGCACAGAACTGGTTCCTGGGCTCAGTGAAGAAAGACAAACAGAACAATGGCACTCATTTGGTGGATGACAGGACACCTACAAGCAATGGATATTAAAACGTGTAAGAGACAGATGGAAACCAAAGACAGCCCCCAGCAGGTGAAGAGTAAAGAACACATCTGACGATCAAGGTTAACTATTTCCAGTGTTTGGGCATAAACAAAAGTTTACTAAACTGGACTTAGAGTATGTGAGCAGGACAGTGGTAACTTACTCATTTTCATAAAGTACAAGCCACTATTTCAGCTTTACTGACTGGAGATACGCAAATTTACCAGTGGAGACCACTGCTGCCGACTTTGTGGCTACAGCTCTGCTGTGGGGGGAAATGGCTCCAGGGGTTTAACAAGCCCAGGGCTGCAAATATTGCTGCCATTTGCTGACTCCAATCCTCAGTGCAACTAGAATACATCTAACTGATGAAGTTCAAAAACTAAGCCCTAAAATGTATCTCCTGAATGAGTGCTTTCTTCCCTAGCTGAGCACTGTGAACAAGCACAGAAGCACAAGCTATGCCTGTAATTCTCATGTGCTTCTGGACAAATGCAGAGAAATGGCACGTACTGAACCATAACAGACTGAAATTGGCCATAGCTGAACTGCCCAACTGGCATAACCAATGTGGCTCCAACGCATGTCTGAAGGCTGTCAGCACTGGCCAAATTGGTTCCAAAAATGGACAAACTTGTCATTTTCATATCAATGCTACAAAATGTTGGATTTATGTGGCATTTTTACAGTTTTCCTTTGCATTTTCAGGGGCGCCCTGGAAGCTTATGTTCAGTCAGTTCGAAGCAGAGAAGGCAAAGAGTTTGCACCAGTTTATCCCATCATGGTTCAGCTGCTCCAAAAGGCCATGTCTACACTACAGTAACAGGCAGTCTCCACTTGCACACCCATCCAAGGGTGGCAACCAGCAACCAACCATCAGTTGATTTTTCTCTATTTCCTACTTTAAATTGTCAAAAGACCAATCAGCACTCATAAAGATAATTTTTTTCCTTTTTCAGATTTTGAGCAAGACTTTTTTCTGGTTTTCTCTTTTTTCTTCTTTTGCCATCACACAACTGACTGCCTTTATTACACTGCTTTTGAAGGGACAGGATCAAGTCACCGCACTTTCCCCAAAATCTGCTGCTTTACTGGTAAGCATGTAACCTGGGGATCTGCAAATCTTCAGGAGTCCCTGAGTAAACCTGGCACAGAGCAGCTCTACCGCGAGTGATATGCAGTCAGGTCCAGTAACTGTGGCACAACTCAAAGCTGAGACAGATGCACTGCTAAGCATTCTAAATGCAGCCAGGGTTTCTTCACACTTTGTCCCAAAGCCCCAAGTGCTTATTTTTAATAAAGTTACAAAGTTAAAAAATAAAACTTTCTTTTCCTACAAAGGTTCTCTATAAATGTTAATATATGTCCTTATTTTTCTATTGTCTTCACACCATGATTAACATACTTTAGTTTCTAAAATCCCACCAAAAACCTAATTATAACACCAGAACTGCTTTATCAAGAATTTATTTTCCATCTGCTGATCAGATTATTTGGATAACTACACATAAACTCAGTCAATCAGAAATCAGAGACAGATTTTTTTTTCATTTTATTTGAAATAATATACAAGAATATAGTGTGCAAAATTGAGGGCAACATGTTTAAGAAGTGTAATGAACTGAAATCAACTTTACAGCTGTGATTCCTAACCAAAAATACCACTTGGTAAGTAACATGAGAAGCCATGATTGTAGCTCAGAGCAAAAGCAGTTCACCTGCTGCAGTCCTTGCTCTATCTCAGAAGCTGGAGGGAGGTAAAGTGCAAAGTCTGCCCCCACCATAGAGACGATGACGGCACAGATGTAAGCTGTGTGGCTGAGGAGAGAGTCAACAGCACCATTAGAGTGACTGTCCCAATGCTATTAACCAACTGCACCTTGGCTGGGCTTGGCCCCCAATGGAACCCGTGGAGGCAGGCTGCCCCCTGGTGCGTCCACTCAGCACATGCCGGTGGTGCCTGAAGCAGGTGGCTCTTTTAGCTGGGACAATGACACCATCCACCTGCCATGCTATGTTGTCTCTTGGCACTGGCCAGACTAGAAGCGACTGTGTTTGGCACAGATGCTGGGCCATGTGGTGGCTATTCATGGAAAGGCCAGCGTCTGCTTCATTCCTGATATCGTGGGTACAATACAGATTAATAAGCAGTAAGGAGCCGGTGTATAAACAGCAGTTACATATTTTTAAATTCCCCTTCGTACAATTTAAAATAAAACATGTATACACATCTCTCTACTGTACTTTAGCACCACAGGATATCAATTTTCAAGCCTATATTACCTGATAGACGTATATGAAGTTTGGAAGGAAAATAAGGCAATTTGGTTTACAATGTTGATAGTTGTAGCTTACTTAATGCTCTAATGGAGAAAGCAAATCCTCACCCATTAAATCATTTCAAGACTCAATGCTCTTAGCATCTTATGGTCACACAAATGTAGGACAAATGGTGAGACCAAAGTCTTCCAAGCTTTTCCGTCCAGAGTTGGTACTTGTGTGAATGCAGACTTACAGACACAAGCATCAGGTTTAATGCTGTTGAGAGCCCTGCAAACAAAACAGTGAATGCTTACAAAATAATATATATTAACTGTGTAATTAAACTTTGAAGTTTATATATTTTCAGACCCTAACAACAGTTTGTGAGGGATGGGTATCTAACTCCGTAGACAGCTTGCCTTCCAAGCACAAAGCCTTGGGTTCAAACCCCAGAGCTACATAAACAGAAGGCAAGACCGACACTTGAGCTTGTCCTGTGACTTCAATATGTATGGCTGCACTCATACAACCACATATGCACACACACACAAAACCCAAGTGTTGTATTGAGTGCCCGAATTCCCTAAATTAAAGGGCTGGAAGCAGGAGGATCAGAAGTTGAAGGTCATTCCTGCGTTCAAAAGCAAGTTTGAGGCCTGGCTACATGAAACCTTGACTCACACACACCCCACCCCCAAAGTAAGCACAAAACAAACTTCTACATTATAGTTCAACACTTTAAATCCCTGAGCCATTTAAACTAATAGTTATTTAGGAATAGATTAAAACACCCCTATTTCGACAAAACATAAGCCATTCTGTTTTATTATATACATTTTGTGGTAATCAAAGGACAATTAGAATGATGGGGTCTATCAACCAAGAAAGCACTGTGAGATTTACTTCCACCTTTCCTATTTCTTCAGATTCTTAATCTAGTAGTTTCTGCCAATGGCAGAAGTCTGCATTCTGTTACTGTGTCTGAGGCAAGCCACCAGAAATTAGATTTTCTACTGTGATGAGTTAACGGTGTCCAGTTTTAACCATATTAGAAATGCTCTAAAGCCATCCGGACCTCAGCACTTAGGACTACTTGAGATCTCTGCTTGACAGACTCCACAGTAAGCGGTTTCTGATGACAGGAAGGCAGCTGTACTCGTGTGTGCTCAACATTACTAGGCTTCAAGTAAAAAAAAATGGTGAGATATCTTTAAAGGGTCTGGCATGCCAGCGCAGGCACAGGGACAGAGTATCACGTTAACACTTATTGCTAACACTTACTGAATTGGTTCTTTTCCTTTTCCAGCAGTCAGGATTTAAACGCTTTTGTTCTTCGGCCAAAGCCTTTGCTTCTAATGTGTACATCCTCCTTTCCTCATTCTTCATTTTTTTCCACCTGTCACCAAGGATCACACTAATGGCTCTGCAGAATGAATATTTACATATGTAAACTTTTCAAATAGTGTTACCAACTGCTGCTACTTCGAACATGAATGTAAAAGCAAAGAAGGGAAAGATCAAGGTTCTCAGTCATTTCAGCAAAACCCTGTCATATGGTCAACTTATGAGAATCTTGTAATAGTACCAGTATTTACAACTGTTCCATCCAAAATGGCCAAAAAGTATTTTTCCAAAGTTCAGTATCAACAGGATAAGGCATTCAACTTGTATTAAAAACTTATTTTGTGTGCATAGCTACTCAAGCTATCATGATTATGTTAAAAGCTTTCCCCCACAAAAATGCAAGCCCAGTGAGAAAGACTGTCTTTCCCTTAGAGTTTATGTCTAATGATTTTTTTTTTTTAAGTACACTTAAAAGTCGGGTTTGTACTTAACACATGAGACTCTAGATTAAATTTAAAAGGTAAGAGAACATTAAATCTGATAGGATAGATCACTATACAAATCTGGAACAATTTTCCTAGTTTCCCAGTCATTCAGAGAGGAAAGCTACTAACGTAATCTCATCCAGAATATCCATTGAGAAATAAATCACTTTTCTATGAGTAACTTTTAGCCATTACATGGTACCCACACAGGAGGATCCTGGGTTAACTAGTCTCTGTACGGACTGGTTAAGAAGATGTAGACATTCATGCTTCAGGAGCATAGTAACCACAGAAGCCATTACTTGCACGTATTGAGTGTGTTTGTCTCGTTAAATCCAATATAGTAAAGCAACTGAATGTGCTGTATTTTATTTAAACTCAACTTAATTTAGACTTTTGGTTAAAGACAGCATGTAATGGTTGACATTTTTGCCATTTAAGCCATAGGGAATAAGCACGTACCCATCCCAGTCTCCCAAAGTTCAAGTGTTTAGAATAGGGTGTTGATACGATGCTTGATGTTTCCTCTTAAGTGAAACAAGATGGACAGTGTGATGTCCTCAGTGCTGAGACTACCATCTGCACTCCCTCCTCTCTTAATTTACCAACCAGACTTAAGTTTATGCCAACTGGCTAAAGAGCTCTAACCTACTTATTTTAGTGTGCATTCCTCTACGACATGAGAAGTCCTTATTCATGGAATAAAGATCTACCTATCTACAAGAAGAACAAAATCCAAAACCAAAATTAATTGTTTTCAGTGAGTTTGGAAAAAGGTCCATTTGACATCCTTTCACATTAGAACCACAAATATATCAGTCACATGGTAATAACACTAATGGGAGATATCTTTTAATAAATAGATCCTAAAATAGAAAAAAAAAAAAAGAAAATGAGATAGATGTCCACTCTTGGCAGAGTCCTTTCCTCCAAAATGAAAGTAAAGCCAGAGTCCTATCAGCACCCAACTATTTAGAAAGTCTTTATAACACAGTTCAAGACCACGAGACTACTCCTAGGTATAAGAGGACATTCAATAAACAAGTACTACATAGGCGTGAAAAGAGAAACATCCTGCATCTGTCAGGAAGTCTCCAAGATGGCCACCACAAAAAGGGAGTGATGGGGAACGTGCCTAAGTTAAAATGCTTTTGAATTTTTGAAGCATAATTTCCGCTAAACTAGTCTATCTTCTTGACAGAAGCCATTGCCAACATTAATTTGTTAAAAAAAAAAAAAAAAAACAAAAAACAAAACCCGACAGGGTCTCACTACTTAGCTCTGGCCACCCTCCATTTTAATTCTGAAGAAATAATCAAATATTAGGACAAGGCCATTCTGTACAAACACATCAAATCTTACAGATGCACTGGAGATGCAAAGCCTCTTTCTAAACTGTAATATTTAGAACTACTTTCTTTGAGACGTTACAAACTGAATTGAAAATTGAGTTAAAAAAATTAAGTCCTCTAAAATGTTTTGACTTATGATTGCAAAAACAAAGGAAATAGTAATTCTGACTCTCAGGGAAATAGGAAGATTGCAAGAAGGTACTTTTAGCTTACAAAGTACAAGACTGAACTCTAACAGACAGTGAAATAAGTAAGGCTGCAGCACAGAGGACTGACCTTCCAAAGGCTACGCTTGGACAAATCTGACTGCTTTCTTATATAAACTGTTCATGTTACATACCCCACACATGGCTCCTTATGAAACCCTCCAAACCTGACCCAAGGAAGTACTAGCCTTCTCTAAAAACAAAACCACCAGGAGTTGTTGAATCTTGTTCTCTAGCAGGCAAATTACACCTAACTTATTTTCAAAGGGAACCTTTTCGGTACTGCCCTCTGTATAATCTATTATAAAAACACAATGTATCTAAATCAACCTAAGAAAATGGAAAGACATCAACAAAAGCTACTGAAATTTATTTTTGCAGAACCAGTTACTGTGAACTACACTGACAAGTCAGTAATCGTAGTTATTGCTATTTACCTGTTATCTTTCCCTGGATACATCTGAGTATATTCAACTCTGTATTTTTTGGCAAAAAGCATGAAGGCATTCATTGGTCTTTTGCACTTATTAGGAGAAGTGGCACTCACAGTCCCTGAGCTGTGGCTTTTGACAGCTTTAGCATACAAAGAACTAGAAGAGAGCTGTGATGATCCAGGTGAACCACAGCTTTTACTGAATTCATTTCCCGCGAACTCTTGACCAGTACCAGGTCCTCCACAAGACAAAGATGCACGACGCTGACGAGCCATACTGCTCAAAACATAAACTGCAGAAGAGTCCATGGGTGTGAAGTCATAGCTAGAAAAGTAACAAACAAATTAGACTGACATTATAAAGTAACTAAAGCACAATTTTAAAAACATGACTGAAAATCCCACTTCCTCTTACCTGATGTGTCATCACCAGCACTACTTTAAACAGCTTCTGCCACAAATGCTTACCAAGAAACCTCTTGTGTACAACTGAAAACATTTCCTAAAAGCCAACCTCTAAGCCCCACAAAGGCAGCTATAACCAGCACACGTCCTTCACAGCAGCTAACTCCTCCATCCCACACATGCCTCTCTATGCTTCCAGATCACTTTAACAAACTTGACAATCTCATTTCTTGCCCAGAAGTCTTCAACTTAGGAAACTAAAATAAAGTGGGCTGTATTCCAGGCCTGAAAGCTAACAGCTCTGAAAAGAAGGGCAGCCATTCAGCTCAGTACTCCTAGCATTTAGGAAGCTCAGGCAGATTGGATCTCCACATAGAGGCAAGCCTGAGCAACAATGTAGGATCATGGCCAACCTGGGCTAAAATGAGACCTTGACTTCAAAAATGGCTATTAAATGTTGCTAACATGAAATACCTAGCAATTTGAGAATTTGTATAGATAGAAAAGTTTGAAGATATACAAGTCCACCTATGTATAATGAGTATCTTAACCCACACTTATCAATAAAGGCTACAGTTCCTTATGTAAGTTTGATTTGCAGAAACACCAAAACAAATATCCACACAGTCCTGCCCTTCAACAAGTCTGGGATTCAGGAGTCCAGTGGCTCCTTCTATAAGAAAGAGACCAGCCAGAGATACAAAGTATCATTCATCCAAAGACCAGAGCCCACTTTCCTCACCCACAGCCCAGTACCTTCATAATTCCAATGGCCATATCAAGAGTAACCAAGCAATCACACATTAAACTATTAGCTGAAAATCAGAGCTAATGTAGATCACAGCCGACTGTGACTGTATTTTCTTCTCAACACAAACTTTTTACTATTAACTTTCTCTAAAACAGAAATTCTGGTATAACATCAAAGTAAAAATATTGTAAAACCAGAGACCAGAAAATCTACAAACCAAAAAGCCAAATGAACAAAACAGGTCCACAGCATTAACTGCGAACAGTAAAAAACACTTCTACCAATTACCAGCCTTGTACTGTCTTTTTTTCTAAAGGTATTACAAGAAATAAATGTCTTGAAAACTACTAAGCCCAAAACTGTCATATAATCAATACTTAGAGCTGCTATGTCTGTAAGGCTTTGTAAGGTATCTTAAGCCCCTACCAAATGAAGTCTAGAAAACTATGAGATCTAGCCACTGTGTGGGACTGTCACCTCTAGTTAGAAAGTAATTATAATCTAAAATACCAAGAGACAAGGGTAAGCTGGTTACTAAAATTTGAAAACTCTACCATCTAGTGGCAGAAATCTGTCATGTTTTCTTTGTGAATACAACAAATTAAGTTGGGTTCCATAAACGCAGTAGCCTATCCAGGACACTGACCCGACAGTAGATAGCTTAAATGTTGTGCTTTCTTCACCCTCTTTTTAAGTACCTGCTCTTACCATGGAACCAACTTTAATCTTGGTATATGCTATTATTCAAATACCTTCCATGTTTAACTCTTTTAAAGATTTAGTTTAGAGTTAACTATGCATTTGGTATGTACACATGCAGATGACTGTGGAGGCCAGGGGCTGGGGCTGGGATTACAGACAGCTCTGAGCTGCCCTATATGGGTGCTTGGAACAGAAACTGAGTCCTCTTAACCACTAAGCCCTTCATCACTACTCTTAAAGGCAAACTCTACAGTAACACAGAGCTTATTACTCAAGTCCTATATATTTACTCATTTAGTCTTTCTAAATTAATCACTAAATCACTGTTTCATGGATTAGAAAAACCATTATGGAAGAGTTAATTAACTTTACCTAAGCTTCCACAGCTAGCCTAGTGCACAGTCCGGATGTGAAGGAAGGCAGTCAGCTCTGGAGCTTATGCTTCTAGCAGGCCCAAGGCTTGCCAGTACGCAAACAGCATACTGCATACTGACCAACCCACTTCCCTCCCAAACCAGGAGCAGAGGCATACCAAAAGTATTTAAAGTGCACTTTAACTGTAGAGTATGTGGTGATATACAATTTTAACAGGGTTCAAATCTCACCTCCACATACTAGTGATGTGCCCTTGGAAAAACTAACTAATGCAAAAGTGGAGGCCTTACTATCCCATGACAGTCACTGCACAGTACAAGACACTAATGGTCAACGGCTTCTAGAAGAACTAATCTACACCCACTGAGCAGGAGGAACACTAAGGGTGGGAAATGAAAACTTGCTGGTCAAGTTTCCCTTTTTGCTTTAAAAAATGAAGTTTTATACCATGCCATACCTAGTGTATTAAAAATGAACCTAAGTTGTGTACCATGAAACTACTAACTATAATTTAATTATTATATTAAATAAGAACTCAACCTAGAAGGATTCTACTACTGCTAATCCCGTATTTGTCGCCCCAGAGAATCACTCTTAGGTTTTCAACAATTTAACAGTGGGGTTTTGTGTAAAAAGACATTATACGTCCATTTACTATACTTTCAAAAGTTTATTCACAGCACTGGTCCTGACTGGCATCTAGAACTTACATTTCATCCCAACAACTTGTAAGAGTAACTTACTGGGCCTGAACTATTAGCACATGGTGTCATTTTAAAATTGGGATTTTGGTACATACCAGGAAAAGATATTATTTGGCCAGGCTCTCAATAAAAATCCTACCACGTGACAATCTAACAAACTTCTCTGGCAAAAACATTTTTCATGTTTGTATTATTTATTTCTGGAGGCTGAAGATATGCTGAGTGAGGACTCCAAAAAAGCCTGACTTTTTGGTTTTCCCTTTCCTGATTGTGCTTTCTATCCTTTCGCCATAATAAACTGTGGACATGAACATGAGTGCATTTGTGTCTCATGAGTCTGCCTAATAAAATCCAATTTAGCAATACTGATAAGGCCTGTTTGCTGCTGTGAACAATTCGGTTGCAAAGTTATTTAGGTAATTTTATACTCATCTACAGAATTTACTTGAGCTACCCAGATGGCTCAGTGGGCCTAAGACTCTCTTCTCAATTGTTCTCTATTGTATTCAGTGAGCTGTCATCTCTCAATTGGACCTAGAGCTCCCAGACTGACTAGCTAACCCGTTTCTCAGGGCTCTTGCCCTTTTGGTCCCAGTGTTGGAATCACTACACACACTAGCAATTAAACGGTTCTGGGGATGGGCACGCATGAACAGCAAGCGTTTCTAATTGTTGAGCCCTTTTCCCAGCCCTTTTTAAATTCTTAAAACCTTTAAAATTTAGGTTCAGTTGTGATTCAGCAATCCCTAGAAAATAAACAGAAAAGAAATACACTCTTACCTTTTAAATGTATCAAAAACACCTGAATCGTCAAAATTAATGGCATCAGGGTGTCCAGGAGGTAGACAAACGTCACCAATGTGAATCTCACAACATGGAATGCCATGCTGCACCACAGTCAGGCTTGGATAAAATGACGACCAACCTGGAGTTCGACAACACAGAATGAGGAGTGAACAAAGCAGCCTAATTAGAAGACACATGTGAAAGAACAAGCACTGCTTAAATCCAACATGTCAAGTCTCTGATTTTGAAATAAAACAATTACTAGATTAAGTATTCTGTTTCAGCTACGTGAAAGGCCCCCAAGACTAATTTAACTCAGTATCTTATTTATAAATCTCTACCAGATAGTCACCACTTCTATCCGTGCACCAAAACAAGTGATAAACTATGAAAGTCTATGAATTACTAAATTATGCTTAACATGGTATTTCTGTAATAACGCTGTAAACTCTGGCTTCATAGCCTACTTGGTAAATAAAAAACAAAAAAAAAAAACAAAAAACTGTGACTGAGTACCCCACTCCCCACATTATACCTAGCTCAGACTTTATAGTATGCCACATGAATGAAATTTCTCATACACACAAGGAAATTTTATCTAATCATGGCTAAGGTTCTTAGATACTACTGAATAAAATTAGATTTCCTATTGTCATTTTATTTGGTTTGAAATAAATTTACAATTTCTTTTCTTTTTTTAAATCAAAGCCACAAAACATCACAAGTGTAACTTTAAAGAAGTTGAGCTAAAGATGGCTCGGCATTTTAGAGCACTGACTGGTCTACAGATCTGAGGTTCAAATGGCATCTCAAAACCGTCTGTTAAATACAGTACCAAGGGATCTGGACACACATGAAAGTAACAGTGAAGTTTGTATGCATTCAATTGAAGACCTACCTTTATTTTTAACATAGAAAGGGTGGTCCAGCTTACACTCTACAGTAAGCAAGCCATCTTCTACTGTACCAGGATCAAATGTCAACTTCAGTACAGACTCACCAAATGACACACTCTCTTCATGGGATAACAGCTTTAGACCATCAGAACCATAACCCTGAAAGCATATGCATGAAGTACACAGATTGGAAATATTCAATTCAACACACAGTGAAATTCCCAATACATGTCTTGACTGGGAAAAAGTAAAAGTACCTTGAAGCCCAGTAGCAAAGAAATGCACACATATAAATGGCCACAGGATATACGGCAGACTGAATATGTATTTTAACCCAAATGTAAATACTATGAAGTTTAATAACAAAGGTACTAACTCTGAGATAGATTAAGGGGGACTTTCGAATTCATTTGAAGTGAGATGAAAAAGACAGATTAAATTTAGAAAGAAGAAAATGCCTGGACTAAGAATAGTTGTATTTAATGACTTTTTTGAGTAGTTCCAATTATTTGCTAAAAAAACAAACAAAAGAAACAGAGGGGGTCTCTGATATTTAACTTTTTAAAGATTTGTTTGTATCTGTGTATGTGTACCAGCCCTAGGATCTGTTGTGCAGGTGCTCTGCAAATACAGCAAGTACTCTGGGCCATCTTGCCAAGCCCATGTCCCAGTTACTTGAGGTTGTGAGATACACACTGTACATCTTGCGTACACAATTAATGACAGAAGAACCAAGTGAAATTCACAATCAATGGATATTTACTGAGTAGTATATGCCAGGTTGGTGGGCTTGTAAAAGACATGAACAGAACATGATACTTAACCTTGCACTCCAAGGAAAATAATAAACATGACCACAGCCAGCTACAGCACCCAACTTTATATTAGTGGATGAACAAAATAATGAAATGAGAGAAAAAAAAAAATGCTGAAAAGCCTTATGGAAATAGTAAACTGAACATGAAGGGATGAAGGGGAACATAATGAAAGACAACTTTATGCTTTTAAATGTGGTCATCAAGAGTATCTAAAGGAACAGGTGGAAACTTAAAAAAGAATGAGATAAATGTAGCCCCAAGTCATTACTAAACTGTGTGTGAAAAACTGATGACTACTCATTAGTTGGAAAAGTAAAGGACATGTTAGCAAATAGGCAAAATTCGTCTTCTAGGGCTGGAGAGATGGTTCCGTGGCTAAGAGCACTGGCTGCTCGACCAGGGTTCAATTCCCAACACTCACATGGCAGCTCACAACTGTCTGTAATACCAGTTCCAAGGAATCTGACACTCTCACACAGACATATATACAGGCAAAACACCAAAGCACATTAAATAAAGTACACAAATCCTAAAAAAAAATGTTAGTCTTCTATTACTTAAAGCTACATAAGTTTTAATCTGAGTTCCCATTCCAGATCAGGAAGCCAAGACCCAGATGATTAAAGTCAGTCTCTTAAGGAGTTGCTAGAGTGCAAAAGCAGTCCAGAGTGCTCTCCACAAACAAGATGCCTGGGATGCTGCTTGCACTCTAGCCACTTGGGCTGTGAGTGCAAGAACACTTAAATACCACCTGCAGTGCTCACAGGTTGGGTATCTCTGTTGCCATTGTACAAACTACGGTAAAACACTGTCAGGAAGTTAAGAAAAAGAAAGTGAGTAAGTAGAGGAAAGTCAGGACAAGGAAACATGCCGATACTACAATACAGCAGTAAGAGCTCCAGGCACCTTGGTAAGGGGTCCTTCAGAAGGTGGAGAACTATGCAGACCGAAGTACAGGTCTGAGAAGAAAGCACAAGTCTGCAGTGTGCATACCATGCTGATGTAGAGAGAATGGGCACAACAGACAGAAATGCCCTTGTACTCACATCCTAACAAGGAGCTCCTTTTGAGGGACAGGCCAAAGACACCAAGATGATGTAAGGAAAGGCTAACAGATATGTGAAGAGAGTTCAAGAACATCTGAAAGTTTCACACCCCTCTCCCTGAAATATCTCAGAAAATATTTATGTCAGGTTGCTCAGCCTTTCTGTGGAACCAGGACAATTTGTAGAAAGGAGAGACTCCTATGTCATTCACATAGTAAGAGCAGAGGCAGAAAATGTATTTTAGAATTGATTTAAGTTGGTATTGAGAAAGAGGCTAACAAAAATATTCAAATGAAGATTTAATGCACTCCTGATTTAATTATTTTGTAGAAATATCCAGAAGTCATATTGGTGAAGAAATGATAGGTCTATTTTTGAGCAATTGTGATATTGACTTGAATGTTGCACATAGCACTATTTATAGTAACCAATATGTGGAAACACCTCAACATCCATGGACAGATGAATGGACAAAGAAAATGTTTGTACATACAGTATATAAAATTAAACTTTAAACAAGAAGAAAAAAAAAGAAATTCAATATAGCAAATGTTGCAGAGATTTCAAACTACAAGACAATGTTTATAAAGTAGGGGAAGCCAAACTCAGACTAACACTTTACTAAATGGAGAGTAATATCAAGATGAAGACACTATACTCAAGAGAGCCAAATTAAGACTTTTTCTCAATAAATTTATCAGGAGACAGTAGGCTCCAAAAAGGACTTTTCAATTGGTACTTTATACTCTCACATTTATTTATTGTTTTGTCCATTCATTCACTTTGCCTGCACTAGAGATGGAGAAAATAAAAGTTTTAAGAGTAAAAAGTAAAAAGTGTCAACAGATATTTATCCTACTGTTTTTCACTACTATTTTAATTAATCAATATTGAAAGTGATAGTTTGCTGGGGTCACTTAAAAAGGGACAACAAACTCCCAATTAACCAAAGAGGAAATTAACTCAGAATACACATAAGAACTTAAGGTTTCATTGGTTTCCTATTTGTGTTTAATGGCAGTTTAGTTTTCCAGAACAAGTCCATTTAAAGCATAAAGCTGCTAGGCAACAGACCACTCATCTCAGAAGCATAGCTGGGAAGTGCTCCAGTCTCCTTCCCATCCACCTTACTAGGCCATGAGCTCATACCCCCTACCCAGAGCGCACGGTGCCATTTAAACAGGTACGCAAGTATAGGGTTGCCATACATACACCCTGAAGTTTGACCCTTTTGAAATTCTTTAGAAGGATTTTAAATGAACCTTGTGAGTGCCCATTTGGATCTCTTCCTCATTATCACAGCCTGTGGCTCTAGCAAAGTCTTCCACATCTTGCCATTCCTTATTGCTTTCCTTATGGAAGCACAGTCGTGTGCCTAAAGTTGAATTAGAAAGAAGGTATCAGATAACACGACTAGTGTGCTACCCAAGGCAGCTGCAGAACACTGAAGTATTTCTTTACCTTTCAAAAAGCAGTGCCAAACCGTCGATGGCCAGGAATTGCACCAGCCCAGATCATCATCATCTGACAGGGAGGACATACAGAAAATGCCCGACTCCGACTCACTGTTTGCCTACAAGAGAAACAGAAACTTCTCTTTCATTCTTAAGGATCTTTTAATACCTATTTTAACTCAAACTTTCAAATAACTTAGTTGTAAGCTTGAGGAAAATAAGCTTTCAATATTAAAGGTTTTTTGAGGTTTTAAATACTGTCATTTGTAACTTTCTTAAAAATAGAAACACAAAAATTAAATGCATATAATTAATGAACAATGAAATATTCTTTTGACCATCTGTATGTTCTCCAAAAGAATTTCTTAGATGGGGGAAGGTGATTTTTTCAACCATTTTATAAACTTTGTAAAAGTTTAACGTCATAAACAAACTCACCCTTTCGTGTCTTACTGGTGTCTCCTCCTTCCAGTGGTCCTGAGGGAAGGCTGGCCCGCTCTTTGAAGAAGAGGACACTGGTGGTGGGCGTGCATAGGAATGTAAACTTTTGCTGGTAGCTATGATGTGTACAGGAGATGATCTAAAATAAAGCAGCAGCTTTTACAGTGTAGGTCCTTAAAGAATATCTTTTGATAAAAACATAGTGCCAATACCGTTGAAGCAATACACATGAAGCAACTATGGAAAACACTAGTAAAGACTGCAAGATATCATTACAACAAGCTGTCCCTTAAAGTTATTAACCCTTCTCACATACAAACTTACTAATAAATGCTAAAGTTCTCTTATCATCACATTCATCACATTTTATTAGAACTTATTTATTCAAACTGGCAAGGAATTCAGGATTTCCCTACCTCAAGGTCAGGGATTGCAGGCATATCCACTACACCTGATTCCCATCTCTTTTATCCCAATACAGGCGAATGTGCATACTGTCAGGAAGGAAATACACATCCATTTCTTACACTCAGCAAACTACAACAATGCTAAACTATCCAGCCATGCATCGCTGGGAAGACATGAACTCCTTGAGGAAAAACACTAGTAGAGAGCAGCCTGTAGAACTCCTTGTAAGGAGACACTATTTCTGGTATTCTAATACACACTTGTTGAAAAGCAACTGCACACAAACATACAGACAGTCTGGTCACGTTTCCACTAGGACCATCTTCACCCCTTCTTCTTTCCCTTGGTAACGTCTCTGCTGAGCAGTGCTCTTTCAAGTACATAGGGATCCCAGGAACACACGAAGATCCTACTTCATAGCTAGTACCACAGGAACACTGCAGAAACCCAACCCTCAGTAACTAACATGCTTATACTTGCACCAACAGCCACTAAGAACAATGAAAAGCAGGGAAGCAAGCACACCTGTGATGAACAGCACAGAAAATGCTTCCAAGGATAAAAGTACATCCACAGGCAGACAGGCCCTTACTTTTCTATCTTTATTTGCACTCATTTTCTTCAGGAAGGTTTACTCATTTCCCACAAGTTCCTCCCTACCCTTTCTGTGCAGTACTCCAGATAAAACTCAGGTTTTTATTCTACACATTCTCAGTAAACACTCTCCTACAGAGCTGTGCTCCAGTCCTTTTATAAACTGTAACTTCAATGTGAACATGAACCATGCCATCTTCTAACTCTAGTTAGAAAGGGAGGGGCAATACTTAAATAAGGGTTTGTTTTTTTAAAATGTCTGATTTTAATAAATGAGCTAGGATGCTGCTTATTATTAGTGAAGTTCTTTCCTAGCATGCCCTAGGTTAAACCAATTACTTGAAAAGTAGGAATACAAAGTATGTGATACTCTGAGAAAAAAAAAAAATCCTTTCCTATGGAAATTTATAGAGAATTTAAGTGAACTACATTGCTCTATCAAGACCAACATCCTGCAAACAGAAAAGCAGCAAACCATAACAGAATGCAAGACAACTACGCTTTCATACTTAGAGAATGCTGAAGCCACGTATTATAAAACTTGAGACCAATCAATACCAAAGTTCAGAGTTCTTCCTACTTACCTAGCATATTCTAATTCACTTCTTCCAACAGAGTGAAAATGGGGCACGTCTCCAAGCCATCATATTTACTAAGATGATGCCTACTAAGATCTCTCTAGGAGTATCAGCTGGGATTTTCCAGTTTCACTGTAGATCCACCCATTTTCTTAAATGTTGGTTTAGATATATGAAGTGGTTTTAATTTTATTTAATTTATTGAAATGGTTTTTATTACTGAGAGTCTACTTTAAGGTTTTCTTTTTTTTAATTTATTTTATTTTTAGATTTATTTCCATTATGTATATAAGTGTTTTGCTTACATGCCTGTCTATGCAACATGCACATGCCTGGCACCCAATGAGATCAGAAGAGGCATCAGATCCCCTGGAACTGGAATTAACAGAAGGTAGGATGTAAACTACTATGTGAGTGCTGGGAATCAAACCTGGGTCCTCTACAAACGCAAGTGCTCTTAACCACTGAGCCACATCTCCAGCCCCTACTATAAGATTAGCAAACCTGAGTATTAGCAAAGATAAACAAGGTTACATATATCATGGAAAAACATAGAACACAATCAAATGTACAACTGATGTTTAAAATAGTGTTTATTATAACTATGGTTCTTTAAAAAACGTATTTCTAAAAGTAAAAAGAATCATAAAAATGTATTCCTTAAACTATTTTTTTTTATTTTTAAACACATACTTTTATGCCATTTGTTCTCATAGCATTGTTAGCTGATTCTCAAAACAACAAAATAATCTTTGTTCATTATAATGTTAATTCTGCTGACTTTAAATATTAAATTAACCATCCATTCAATAGGTAATATCATTACTGTAAAATGCGGAGATTTTCAACCAACAGCTTTAGAAATTAAGGTTAAATATCCTTTCTGTTTGTGTGTGAGCACAGGCACTATGGCACGCATGGAACCACAGGACAGCCTGCAGGTTTGCTCCTTCGGGCTTGGTGGCAAGGTCCTCTACTCCCTGAGCTATCTTGCAGACCTAATGATACAAGTGTGCAGTGAAAGCATAATCATGTTCCTACCTGTTATAAAAGGAGCACTGCATAAGTGGACTTTGTGGACTAGTGGCAATATTTGCTAATTCTGTTAGCCAGTCCACCTCATCTTCACGGTGAGTATTTTCTGGTATGTCTGAGGTATTCTGGCTCCAGGATGGTCTTGGGTATTCTTGATGAGATACATCTGAACTTAGCTGGTATATGGCAGATTGGGTAGGATCACTTTGAACAGCCTGAAGTTCAGGAAGGTCATCTAGAAACAAGCACAAAGATTATTTTTTTTAATATTATTATAAGGAATAATACAGAGCCTGAAAAAACAAGGGTCAGCTTGTTTTCTGTACCTCATCTGGGAATGATCTGGAAATATACCAGTGATATATTTCTACATTAACAGAGTAATATAGGAAGAAAGGGGCATTTAACGTGTATAGTTATTTATAAGTTTTATTGACCTGTTAATCAAGTAACTGCAATACTGAAACCAACTCCTAAAGATGAGAGCAGAAAGCACACTATCAAGTTTTAGGTGGTGCTACTTAACACCTAGGTTAATCTTTGTGAGTTGGGTATGCTGATACATGCTTAAAACCCAACTCAGGAGGTTTGTACCCAATGTGAGCTATACAGCAAGACCCTAACTCAAAACAACTAGATTCCATAAATTCTTTTTCAGTTTTTTATTGAGCTGGACCTGTTGGTGCAAGCCTACAAACCAACATCTAGAAAGCTGACACAGAAAGATTATGATTAAGTTCAATGCCAGTCTGAGCAACACAGTGAGACCCTAGATCAAAAGAGAGCATTATCCCCAAAGGTTGATCACAGAACCTAGTTCTTCAAAGGAAGACACTAAGAAGCCATCCCAAGTTATGAAATTCTTTAAAAAAGATATAGGTGGTATATGTTCGGGAGGGAGGAATCTCGTGGGCTTTTTAATAAACAAGCAATAGTCAGATATGGTAATGAATTCCTTTAATCCCATCACTCAAGAGGCAGAGGCAGGTCGATCTCTGAGTTCCAGGACAGCCAGAGCTTACATAATAGAGACCCTGTCCCAAAAAAAACAAAACAAAACAACAACAAACACCGCCACCACCACCATCAAAAAACCCAAACAAACAAAAACAACAGAAATCCCGTCAAAAAACAAAAAAACCTCACACATACACATGCCCTCTAGAGATCTGCAGGGCCCCTTAAATATACAAGTGAAGATAAACTCTTCTAGGGACTAAGATGGCTCAGCAGTTAAGAGAACTGGCTGCTCTTACAGAGGGACCAATTCAATTCCAAGCACCCACATAGAAGTGAGAACTGTCTGTATTCCAGTCTCAACGGATTTATCCTCTTCTGGCTTCTGTAGGCACCAGGAACTAATGTGGTTCACAAGCATCTATTAAGGCAAAATACCCCATACACGAGAAATAAAATAAAAAACAGAAAAACTTTTAAACTTAACTTGCAAATGTCACTAACGAAAGAAAATTGGCCTAAGAGTATATTTCTTTACAGTGTGTCATCACCTCCTTTGTATCCTCTACTGAAAAAGTAGACTCTAATCTTAAATAATCTTTTCAACTGTATCTTAATGTTCTGTACTATCCCTCTGTGAACACTAGTTATTCTGCTTTATGCTATGAAGTAGAGACCATACTTTACCACATTACCATATTTGTTTTGTGTTTTGAGACATGGTTTCTCTGTGTAGACTTGGCAGTCCTGGACTTGCTTTGTAGACCAGGCTGGCCTTGAACTCAGAGATCTACCTATCTCTGCCTCCCCAAGTGCTGAGATTAAATTAGGCTGGAGTACCACCACACCCAGCTAGTCTACTATTTGTTTTTAATAACATCAGTCTGCAATGTTTTCTTTCCACATGACAATTGATAAAAAAAAAAAAAAAGTGGCCAATACCACAATAGAAAAAACAAAAGACCCGCAAAAACACGGAAACCTCTCCTATTCAACTAAGTATCCTCATAAAAGTCTATATGCAGGCAACTATTCCAGAACAGACCTATAAAACTAAAGTATCTTTGTTAAAAGTAATAACTCAGGTTATCCATTCATTCTTAACTGACTACAAAGTATCTAATTCATTGAAAAAAGGAGGTGATCAACTACCATTCTTCAGGCTGCTCTAACTATTTCCCTTACTTCACTGCTAATAACCCTGCCTTCATATGTACCATTTCTTTATCATGAAAAGTTTATTTCTGTTTTTCAGATTCAGAAAATTAACTACTTTTTAAATGAAGGTACAGATAGGTGAGTCAAAGTTCCTTGACTTGATTTCCTCTAGACATGTGAAATAACGATGGACAACCAACCACTGCCAAAGTGATGCTCCCTGCTCAATAGTAACCACAACTCAAAAAGTATTAGGATCCAGAAAACATGGCATTTGAAGTTATATAGTAAGTCCTTAAGACTGTTAGGTCCTCCAAATTCCAGCATGACATAACATCACATCTGTAAAGCTGAGGTTCATGTGCCACAGTTTCTATAAACACTCAAGGCAACTACATATTACAGGAAGCCAAAGGCACTCAGTAACTCTAACAGCAGTCTACAAACAATACAATGTAAAACCATTACTTGGTACAACTAAACACTCTACAAACATCTCTCTGGAGTACCTCACCAAGAATAATCACTATACATATCTGTCTTCAAATTTCATTTCCATATCAGACCAACAAACCAACATATATGGCGAGCTAACTAATAAGATGTAAACTTAGATGGCAGAGGTTTTCAAAACAAGGTATGTTAATAGTCCGATCTTTGAACAAAAATAAAACTATGACTCCAAAAATTCTTCAATTTCTGTAAGTGCCTAGGTAGCTCACACTGTTTTCAGTTGTATTTTAAAAGGAGGGACCGCCTCTTCCATGAGGCTATGGGGGATGGCTCACTGGACCCCTTGCACAGCCTAAGGACCCAAGTCTGGAGCTTTACCATCCACACAAAAGCTAGACAGCAGGACAGGACCTGCCTGTAACTGAAGGATCAGGAGCAGTGAGATAAGAGCATTGGGGGATGGGGGTGGGGTGGGGTGGGGTGGGGAGAGAAGAGGCTGCAGGCTAGCCAGCCTAACTGAACTGGTAAGCTCTTAAATTCACTGAGTAAACAAAAAGTAAGGTGGAAAGTGACAGAGAAAGAGATTCATACAAACCCTTGGCCTTCACAGCACATACATATGGGCCAGTGTATGTACATGTATGTATGCACACACCACACCACACCCTCATCAACACTAACACACACACACACCACAGAGAAAAGTAGAGTGAAGAAAATGTTAAAAATTCCTATTACACAAGCTCTTCACATACATTTTTACGTAGACAAGGCAGGCAGAGAAGCTGATTAGATATGGTAATTAATCTGAATCTTAGTGAAATTCTTAAACAACTCTTCATTTTGTTTACCTAGCTCCATGTGCTCATCACAGGAGTTGTATCCTGGGGAGGATGGCAAATTCTCATTACACTGCAGCAACTCCAATGAGTCATTCATTCCTGAAGCTCTCTTGTCCATCACCAGCAGGAGTTTCTGTACTGCATTAGGCATCTGATTTGTCTTCACTTCCCACACCATGTTATGGTGTTCCGACTTGAAATGAAAGAAAGACAGGGTCATGTGATTTGGACAGTGTAAAGTCAGTCAGAGACAGCACTACGCTGCATTTCAATTTAACTGTACAATGTCGTTTTACTTTGCTCAACTCCTCCACAACTCCACAACTGTGTGCTCAAAGGATTAACAGTTAATTCAGAATCTTTCTCCTTAACAGTAACAGAATTATACATGCTTTCATTTTTCTGAACTAGTAACTCTTCTCAGATGCAAATACTAAGCCTAGCAATCCATGTTTCAGATGTGTAAAAAAAAAAAAAAAAAAAAAATTGAACTCAACCAATTTTCCGTAAGTAAAAAGACTAAAGGACATATGCGGGTGGGAGGGGTGGTGGCACTCCTTTAATTCCAGAACTCAGCGAGCAAGGGCAGGCAGATTTCTGAGTTCAAGGTCAGTATGGTCTACACAGCAAATTCAGGCCAACCAGTACACCCCTTTTAAAAACAAAACAACTTTTCAATACTTTGCTTACTCATATTCTGAAAGTAAGCAATTTTAAAACACTTAAAATTATATTCTCCATGAACATCTGAATTTCTGAATCTCACAATGGCTATATCATACTTCCAATATATTGATTCCAAGTTGACTGTTACTTTCCCAGAAAGACTCATTTTAAATTTTTGAATCACATTGGAGATAAAGATTTCAGCTTTAATTCTCAGCTAACTTCCTTTTTAACGATTCTTTCTGAAAGCCTTGGCCAAGTTATCCCAAGGGAGAGGGCAGTCCACACTAACACTGCACATCTCAGCAAAGTGGTAATATGACTGTCTGTCACACTCTTGTCATGGCAACAACTACATTAGCACATATCACACTAACATGAGTGGCAGTGCTGGAAGACTTCCTGACTTCTCGGGCTCTACCCCAAATTTCATGGTTTTTAAATTCTAAGAAATACTTAACAAATCCTGATTATTCAACAATCTATAAAACTGTTTGATTCTTGAAAGGCACAAGGGAAGGAGACAACCAACCCCAAGAAATTGTCCTGTGACCCTCCCCCCAGAACCCTTGGTATCCGCGCACATGATAGAAATCAATGTTAAAGTAAGTGACCCCGGCCCTGGGCACTGCTTCAGAGGCTTACTCAATATCAATTGCAGGGCATGTTACGGTGTGATAGAGGGATGCTTAGATAGAAGAAAATATGGCTTCCGGTTCCAGTTTGATTATTTCACTTTAGAGCCAAGTGACTAAACTTGTGGCTAAGTCACTGTCAAAATCATGCTTTCTGTTAGTTGTTAAAGATGAATGAGAAAAGTTTTAAAATGTTAAGCCCAAGATTGTGCAGCAACAGAAACTTGTTGTGGGGGTTGTTAATGTCCTAAATAAACGAGACCCTGAGAGCACTCAGCAGTAGATAACCACATAGCTAACTAGTTTGGGCGGTTTCTTCCCGGAAAATCTGACAAGCCATCCATAGATCTTGCAACATTGATATAGCCTGTATCATGATTTAGGGCTGCAACTTTAGGTACTGAAGGATTTATCTAAAAGTCTCAAGTATTCTAAGAACGTTTTTCCTCCTAATTACTACAACATTCTAATTCATCAGGCCTAGCATACAGTTGGGATATGATAATTTCCCATAAATATGACTTCTCAAGTATTAAATCTTGTTTTCTGTACCTCTCTTGATCCAGGCCTTGAAACACTGAGGAAGTATACCTTAATCAGTGATTCTCTCTCAGTTCGGTAGCACAAAGAAGCACATGTATGCTAAAAACAAATGATGCCCAAGTCCCATCTCCTGAGAAATTATTTGTTTGTACCTACATCTTTACTGTTTTTTTTTTTTCTGTTTTACAAACCCCAAGTGTGGGTTAAGAACTGCTGGGATTAAAAAGACGATTGTTAACAAGCTGGGAAATGTGGCTCAATGATAGACCACCTGCCTATCATGCCTGACTAGGGCTCAGTCCTCAGCACAAGACCACCACATTCCTTTTTAATCATAAAAGGTCTAATGAGAATTACAGAAGGTATTGTATTAGCTGCAACAATTTAACAGGGAACCACTGATGATTTGTGGACTTGAAATCTGACATGAGTGAAACTGCAAACAGGGTCTTTCAATCTGTACAAATCAAATCTAAACACTATCTGAACCAAGTCTGTAACACATGCAGGGTTATTTTTTTTTAAAGTGCACTCATTCTCAATTTCTGCATAAGCCAACTGCTTCCAGATTCCTTTGCAAGGTCTGGTAAAAGGTGACAAGCAGTAACAATGCAGATTCCTTATTTAGTAACTCCTAAGGCAGACAGGAACCAATTACTCTTTCCAAGTTCTCTGAACCTGCTAACACGAAGTTTAGATGACAGACTTTAACTCATCGCATAGAGATGTACTGAAGAGCTTACAGAAGATAATTTAATCTCTCTTCATAACTTCAAACCCTTCTGAACATCTGTACTATGTTCCAAACACTGGGAGCTAGACTTCAACTACAGCTGCACCTCTAACACCCCCACTTCACCATCACTTTCAGTCAGCCTCTGCGTCTTAGCAGTGCTGCTCTGAGTCCACAGAATCATGACTGTAGATGTCTTGTCTCTCTCCCCCTGCAAAGGGCTTTGGTTTTGTCTTCTTGCCAGCTAGGTCTTACCTTCTCCCAATCGCAGTTCGGCAGTGCCAGCCATTCATCATGTAAGTACACTAACTTCTTAGAATTTCTATCACTCAGAACCTCAGCACTTGCCCTATCACAATTTCATCACAACAGGATCATGGGAGGAAACCCTAATTTTAACTTAAAGCAGAACTACCTACAACTAACAGGCCAGGTGAATATTTACTGTTGCACTTCCCACTATTTATGGTGAAGTCTGGGTTTTGGCTTAGATTTTGCTACAGTAAAGGATTTTTATATGTTTTGGGTTTTTTTTTTTTTCCTATGTTTGGATTTTTAAGGTCATTATTTCTTATACAGAAAAAGAAAGCCTAAACTTGAAGGTCAAAGGGTCATGTTTTACTCTTTTGTTTGCATAACAGGGATCCAGTAATTTATCTTCAAACTCACAGTGCTACTTATCTCACAGGGCCAGTGTAAGAATAAAGTTCATGAACCCCCCCCCCCCCACACACACACAAATCATATGCAAATACAAACTGTTGGTCTGTGTCTTCTTACAATCCATGCTGGGGAAATATATTTGCTCTGCAAATATAAAGGCACACCATTTCAGCCTTTCCTCAAAAACAATCCCACATACATGACCGCAATTAGATGGTATTCTGATAAACAAGCTCTGTTCTCAAACACCTCTTGGTGAGCTAACCCTATTGTTCATTCACACTACATACACCACTGCGCTATTAGAACTTGCAACAGGACTTGCCTTGTATTTACATTAAATATGCACGTGTCATATTCTTCATTAATCAACAATTTTCAAAGGTTCAATTCTCTAGTTGTACTTTAAATGTCATGTTCAAAATCCAAAAATGCAATGTCGTTATAAACTTTCAGAAGTATTTATTACCTCTTATGAGGAAAATAACAACTAAGAAACTGGGTTTTTAAATGCCTACCTTCCCCCCTCCCTACAGAGCACTGCCACATACTTCCTCCCATTTTAGTTACTCAAAACAGCTGTGTGAACATTATGGATGAGGAAAGCAGGACTCTGAACACTGAATGGGACTGTTTTCTTTCTAAAAAGAAAAAAAAGAATAAAGAAATTAGCTCAAAATGTGTTAGGCTCTACCTTGCAGCAGTTTCTCTGCTAAGCGGTGGTGGCTGCACATGCCTTTTTAGTCCCAGCACTCAGAAAGCAGAGGCAGGTAGACCTCTGCGTTTGAGGCCACCTGTGTACAGAGTCTACCAGCACTACCAGGGCTAAGGAACCCTGTCTCTAAAAACAAAAACAACCAGTATTTGTAGATTCCCACCTTTCTCTTCAGTGATCCTAACTAACTGTGAAAAGCCCTCTCTCTCTCTACTCCCCCCCTCAATACTCAAGACTTCCATCTAGACTATTTGTTCAAATTGTTATGAAAGAGGAGGTAAAGACAAGGCAATGTACCATTAATAGATTCCTGACAAGAGGAATGGAAACATTTAAAATGAATTACATAATTATAAGCTACAAAAAAGGTACTAAAACTAACAAATATTAAATTCAACTTTCCATACCAAAAGTAATCAGAAGGCTTTTCTGCAGTCCTTTTGAACACCTTCACATATTTAAATGTCACTTCTTGACAATGTTTCTACCACTCTAGCTTGCCACTGAGCTCACAAATGAAAACAAGAAGCCACACAGAGGGTTTTGGTAAACTCTACCACTGTAGCTTACCACTTACTGCTTAGCTCCACCTTTCTGCTCCTGCAACAGTTTAACCACTGACACCTATTTCCTTAATTGTCAATAAAACTAAAACCTATCCACTCTTAAAAACTGTTATAGGTATAAAAAGAACATCTCACATTTTCTTTGCTGAACATCACAAATCACATCAAAGTAAATTATTTCCATGCTCAGTCAACATGAAATACTAATACAGACCACATAAAACTGTCCATGAACAGAAATGTCAATTCAAATAATATTTAAGGCAAGTCATTCTGGAAGCTCAAAAGACAGACGGCCAATTACTCTTTCAAAGGCTCTAGGTTTGATTCCCAGCACCCACCATCAGCTCACCGTGGTCTCTTAGCCCCTGTCCCAGTCTGGTACTTCAACTACCTCTTCTGGCCTCCTTGGGTACTGCATGCATGTGGCACAGGGACAAAGCATCCACACACACAAAACAAATCAATCTTGAAGTCATTTTATGAAAAACTTGAAATCATCTAAAATTTTTAAAGAAACTATTTTCCTAAACTTAATTATAATCCTAAACATTTTCATATTATTACAACAACCTATGAAAACTTTGGGGTTTTTTTTTGTGACAAACTTAACCTTGGCACTCAGGAGGCAGAGGCAGGAAGAGCACTGTGAATTTCAGTCCATCCTGGTCGATACAGTGAATTACAAGCCACCTCGGGCTACACAGTGATAACCTGTCTTATTTTTTTTTTTTTAAAAGCAGCATTTTATAGTAGCTCTAATGGCTTTAAATCTCAGCGGTAGCTAATGATGAAGGATCGCCATGAATTCAAGGCCAGCCTCGATTACAGACCTCAGAGTCTTCAGGACAGGTAGTTTATTCAATTAAGACCATGCCATTTGCCTTAAAAAAAAAAAAAAAAAATGAAGTAAGCATATTAGAGAAAAACACTGTTATTTTTTTTTTCTCCTTTTGTTTGGTCTTTAAAAAAGAGTCTTTCCTAGCCCAGGCTGGTCTGGAACTCACAATACTGGAGGTCCTAATCCATTCTCCTACTTGTACCTCCCACGTGCTAGGATTACAGAACAAGGATGGCTGAGAAAAAATTTCCATAATGAAAATGGAATAGAAATTATGATTGAGTATAAAGTAAATGCAGATTGAAACATTAAAGTACCTAATTAATTACTGATTTTAGGCAGTTATAATTAAAATGTTTCAAATTTCCTTAATTATGTGATGTATAGGTATTTGTTTTTTAATTTTTATGATCTTTTCCCCTTCTTCGTACATAGTGTGAAACTTAAAAGACATAAAATTCCTGCCCTTGTCTTAATAATAGGTAGGGATAACTTAAGATATGTGAAAGAGTACTGAAGTCCTTATGTCCAGACTGCAGAACACACAAAGAGCCTCCAGGCCCAGTGTCCCAAGTTCATGCCAGATGCCGGCATCACTGGACACTGGGAGGGAAAGAATCAAAACTACAGTGGAGGCGATTTGATGGTATAGTGTTTAACAGAGGAACACACTCTCGGCAAAGTACAACTGAGAAATGACAGGGAAAAAGAAAAAACTGAGACGACATCCTTTTATTTAACTCAGGGAAATGAACAAAGAAAGGGCTTTCCCAGGAGGAGGCAATTGGATTTATAAAAGTAAGCTGAGAGCTATAAAATGAAATTCTAAAAAAGATTCTGAAATTTACTAACCGAGTTGCAGTCATGTTTAAATAACCATTTCTTCTTCAAAAACCCAAAGTGGCGCAAAAACTAAGTTTCTTTAGACTGTAACTCGATATCCACCAATACTCTTAGTTTGACAAAGTTGAGGATTAAAGGGAGAGACGGAACCCAGGAACCGACACAGACTGCTCTGGATCTCCACTGTATTCGTAAAGCCGTCCTAACTCTTAACTCCTGAAGCCCCCTCCCGAGGTGACGCTCCCTAAGGCCCTCCTGAGTGCCAGCAGCAGGCACAGCGTGCGGACGAGCGCGTCCCGCCCCGCTGCCAGCGCCGCCACCGCGTCCCGCGAAGGGCCCGCGAGTGAACGCGAGCGCTGTGCGCGGGGAGCTCCGGCGAGGCCGCAGAACCCGGCTTCGCCCCAACTCCTTTTTGTTTTGTTTAAATCTGCCTGCGGAGGGAGGAGCCAGGCCTCGCCCCGCGGGCCCCGGCGCCCGGTCAGGCCGAGCAGCGCCTCCCGGGGCCGGCCAAGTCCACCCCCACCTCTTTCGCCATTCATCGCTTCCTCCCCTCCCCCCATCATGTGACCGCAGCCTGGACGCCAGGCTTGTTTTTCCCCGGGCGCAGCCCCACCGCGCAGGCGCCTCGCAGCCCATTCATTCGAACTGCGTAACAATGAGCCCCGGGCCCGACGGCTGCGCGAGCTCCCCCGCCCGGCCCGGGCCCCACAGGCAGCTTCGGGCCGCCGGAGCCCCCGGCCAGCCCGGGCTCGCGGCCGGCAGCCGCCCCTCGGCCCCGCGGCCGGGAGTGGCGCGTCAAACTTTCCGGGGCCCTCCCGGACGCCAGGCCCCTCCCCTGCCCCGGCCCCTTCCCCGCCGGCCCCCACCGCGAGCGCGGCAGAGCCCCGGGCACCGCCGAGCCTCCCCCCCGCTTCCCGAGGGCTCCGGGGCGCCGCGGCCGCGCAGCCCCGGGGAGCTCGCCGCGGGGAGTCCAGTGCCGGGCGGCCAGAGGGTCGAGGGGCCGCGGCCCGGCCCTCCAGCCCCTCCCTTACCCGCCCCCACCCCTCCGAAAGCCAGCGACCACACACCGTCAGGACGCCGGCCGCCCGTCGCGACAGCGTCGCCGGCGGCTTGCCTGCGCGTCCCCCGACGGCCGCCCGCTCCCCTGGTGCGCGCCGCGACTCCCACCCCCGCGTTTACTCCTCAGCCGAAACTTTCCTACTTACCAAACCCGTCGCCATTACCAAGTCTTTCAAGCTTCGTCTTCCCCCTCCCCTAAAGCCCCCGGGGGGCTGAGCCTTCGTTCACCTTTCTCATCAGTCATTGGTCGGAAGAACTGCCATTCTAAGGTCCCGCTCTCCCATTGGGCGGTGCCGTGGTCCGTCTCGGTGGGCGGGTATGTATTGACTTTTCTCTTGTGTTTACTGGAGAAGCTGACTTGTCAATCACCACAGAACGCGCTTTGGATTGGATTGCTGCCGAGACTCTGGGGACTGGAGCCAAACTTTGCTATCGAAGTGGATTGTGGGTGAGTAGTCTCAACCTTGCTCCTTAGCTGACGAAATAACCGGCGGGAGGAGCTAGATGAACTACATATCCCAGAGGTGAGCGCGCAGCGCAGTCTTGATAGTAAACAAGAGTCATAGGGACACGTGTATCAGCTCGTTTGTTTTGGTGTCTGAGACAAAAGGGAGGGGGCGGAGGAAAGGAGTGTTTTAAAGCCAGGGCTTCCTCTCTTCATTTTGGCCTATTCGAGGGCTCAGAGCATCGTCGGTGTTTGTTGCAGCACTCATTCCCAGCCATAAACAGTAGAATAGCTTGCTGCTCAAAGTTTGGCAGGTGGCCAAGGTATTGTTTTAGTGCGAGGGGAAGAAGATGACTGCACAAGCGGAAGCAGTGCAGACTCGCCTGGGATTTGATCTCTCACAAATCACGGCCCAGGCATGATAGGGACTACAAAGGTTGCTTCAGAACTGCCCTCGTCAGCGGATGAGCTAGATTCTTTTACCCAACCCTTGCCTCACTACGCCCACAACAACTGAGGAAGCTTTACCAGTGTTTGGCCAGGGTTCGTTGAGAAACAACCAGGTGCCCTGCACTGAAAGAATGAGACAATATCGGGCTCGAGAATTTACACAGCTGTTACGGAGAAGGGATGATTGCTTTGGAATTGAGGCTTATGAAGAGATGTTTCCGTATTGGCCTGCATTTTCCTTAAGTTCACACAGACAAGTATAGATATACCGTATGCTATAAACTTTCTTAGTTGCTAGTTTACTTGTAAGTTTCTTTGGCGACTATTTTAACTGTCTCCCTAAGGGCTGAGAAAGAAAACTGCCTTCCCACTAGAAATTCTTCCTGAATTTCCTAAGGCAGTCCAGTCTTACCAGAAGTGGGCAATGGCTTCTCTGCTTTAGTTACCTTCCCTTCAAAGGAGGTTGCTCATAGCATCTGGGTGCAGCTGCTCTGTAATTGGCTTTTATTATTCACGTTATAAGCATTACTCTAGGCATTATTGAGCTTTCTTCTTTGAACTTGAAGTGTTTAAGCATATAAGCTATGGGTTAGATTTTATTTCTTCCAATTATTAGACATATGCTAAAAATTGAGAGGAAGGAATGGAGTTGGTAAGAATTCTTCTAAAGATTTAGGGAAGAGCTTGAAATCATCTGTCTTTAAAGCTTCCCACATTTCTCAAATTTTTAAATGTATCCTAAAGCTGCATCACAGAATCAATAGACAAAATACTACCTGAATGATTGAAACAAGGTTTCAGATTCCTTTGAGTTCTGCATTTGGACTCTTGAGGCGGAAACTATTTCTAAAATAGCCCTTCCAATTGAGCAGAGATTGGCATTAATGCTCACAAATAGTAATCAATCATTACTTTCCTCAAAATAATCCAGAGGAAACCAAACAGAACGCCTAATTCACCCCACCCCCTTAGTAAAAAAGCAAAAGATTCTAACGGACAACTTTCAGACACGGTAGATAGTGTGGTCCCAAAAAGCATGACTGTTTCACCTATTTCGTATCTGTTGTATTTTCTTCTTGTTCTTTTATTAGTGGAATGGCATCAAGATCCATCCATAACTTAAGAACACCAATATTGATTTCTAAACCCAAACAATAATTTCTACCCTTAGAGTATACTTACTAATTTAAAATAATGTCTATCCTTAGAGTATACTTAATAATTTAAAATTAATATGTGTGATATTTATATTTTCTTGAAACTAAAAAAAAAAAAAAAATTGTATTTTCCAAAGCTGGAATCTCGAAAGCTTGAGCCACTGATTTATCTGTCCATCTTGAGTATGTAGACCGTAACACCGACTTCTCCTGAATGTTACTAAAAGGGAATAAGGGTAAAGCCAAACATAGAAACACTTTCCAGGTTTTACCAAAAGCCTTGGTGGTGATTTTTTTTTTTTAAGCTGTAAGTTACCACTATGGGAAGAATAATTTTGACTTCAGACAAAGGTAATGCACATTAATTATGAAGTCTTACCCCTTGCTAACTCCATAGATCTTTCCCATTCATTCATGTATTTAGTACTATTTATTGGCCCTCCCCCACTGAAAACAATAACGAAGATTTTAAAACATTTGTCATTACCTTACTGACTTACTTACTTTCCAAATCTTTAAATATAAGTTAGATTCTGTAAAAGTAACTTTTATTTGCCTGGTTTAATTGCCTCAGAGACTTACTGCCTCCATCTGCTAACCCTAGGCCTAGTCCTGGAAGCTTCTAGCCTCCATACAATCTAACCTGGGCCTATAATGTTTTCAGCCTCTGGGACTTACTGATGAATAAGCTCACTCTTTCTTGTTCTTGCTGAGCTCTGGGCTGGCTGGTTCAACTCAGATATTCTGGCTCAAATTCCTCTCCCAAATGACTGATTCAATCTGGCTTCTCTCTCTCTCAGCCCCTGAATTGCTCAGCTCGCTCTCAAACTAACTCCAGCCATCTGCTCTAATCTCCTGGCTCCTTCTCATTCTTTGGCTCATTTGGTCTTCACCTCAGTTCTCTCTCTTGTGTAACCTGTCTATAACTCCTGGTAAAACCACCTCTTCTCTCTGCATTGCCCCTTAAGTAGCTTCTCTTTTGTGTCTCTTTTCATGAGAGGTGGGCATATCCTCATCTGTAAGCTCTTTCTCTGATTTGTCACCTTTTCTGCCACTCAATTAGACATCACTTTCAAACA